CGAAATCATCGAAATAACGATGGGGTCCACTAAACATTAAAAGAAGAAGAAGAAATAACTACTGGGCAGAACTAAAAAAAATCTTTTAAAAATTAAAAAGCTCCATTATCAGTAAGTAACATAGGCTATACATATTATTGTTTTTTTTTAAGATAACGGGGCCGAAAACGCGAGCAACAGCTAGTCTGTGAAAAATGTCATCGAGATCCATTAAGGCGTTTTAGTAGAAAACTTTTACACTACTACTTTACTTTAAATGGTCACTACGGACCCTAAGTGACCATTTTACGACTTACTACAAAGTTTAGTTCCACTCTGAATGATACCGTTTCTTTTTAGTCCAATAATTTCGATTTAAACCCTATTATCGAAGCCATTATAACTGACAACATAAATAATACGATTTTAAATAAAAAAAACGCAAGTATATGTGCTTTTACTATTGCCTTGTCCCTAAAAAGCAGTCAAAAGCATTGTTACCTTACCTTTTCCGCTATTACAGTAGTCGATCGCGTACTTCGTGGCCTCCCTCGTGGCGAGGACATCCATACCATCCACCCAGATACCAGGCACGTAGTCTCCGCGGGAGTAGTAATCGGTACTAGCGGAGGACCTGTCTACACTGGTTCCCATACCTAGAAAGACCTCAATATTAGAGTCTTTCCCTTTGGACCGTTCAGCCCAATAGGAAAAAAGTCCTACCGAACCGATCAATTCGGTGGATTAATTTATTAGAGTAGGGAAACTCCTATTAGACCGAACAGCCCAACGGGAAACAGCCAATTAAATTTAAACCTACAGTATTTTTGCATCAATTAATATGACGTATCAGTTACTGGCCGCAATAACCCTTTACAATATGATTGGATTGGTGCAATTTACGAAGAAATATGAGTAAATATAAAAAAAACACAGACTTATAAAAACAGACATGTTTGTATATTTAAATACGTAAAAAAATACAATAAATTACATGCATACGGTAAATTAAAAAATGCAATAAGTTTATTATTATTTAAAAAAGAACATATTTAAAGAAAAACAAACAAACACATATGTCACTGTCTGTAAATCGAAATAAATCCGCTTTATTCGATTTAATTAAAAGATTAAAAAACAAAGATTAATATATTATATCAAGAATTTAATCTTAAAGTGTACCATTGTACTTCTATTATTTATAACTGTCCATCTACTTGATTAACATACAAATATATATTGCTGTCTTCTTTTTTTAAAGAATGAGAGACAAAGATAGCAATATATATGTAGTGCAAATAGTCTTGTTAAACGGATTTCCGACCTCATGGTTCTCCCCTTAACTTGGAATTTTATTTTTTCGAATATCAAAATAATATTCATAGCACTTAACCTTAATGACCCAAGGTGTTTAGAAAAAAAAAATTGATGTATCTCTACAGATACACTAACAAGAAAAGGGATAAGCAGAGTTTTGTTGACAGTTTCTCCCAAATTAGAATAAAACCACAAACACTTGACACTGGCCCAATCCGCTGTGGGAGAACCATAAACAAGAAATAGATCGATAGATAGACCCTATGGTCGAGAGTTTTCGCCAAACTATAGTAAACCATATTAGAAGTATAGTATAATAGGAGGCCAAGACTTAATTAGAACGGTGCAACAAAAAATGCTTATATTTTACGAAAAAAAGAACAATAAAGAAAAACAAAAGTATGTCAGTTTAAGATAACATAGTTAAGTCTGCTAAAATCCGTTTATCATTAGAAATCTTTAAAAAAAGCCTTCAATATTAAAAATCAATAAACTAATAAGTCTTGTAAATAAGAATGGTCTATTCAAGTAAATATACATAAAATACTCAATAAAACTCACCATATCCATTGTTTTCACAGACAAACACACAAGGCAGGTCCCATAACTTGGCCATATTGTACGCTTCAAACAACTGGCCCTGATTGGCCGCTCCATCTCCATACAATGTGAAACACACTCCTCCATCAGCCCGGTATTTATGGGCTAAAGCAATACCAGCACCTAACGGGGCCTAAAACATTATATACTGTTAACTTTACTAGTATCTAGTGAACCTCGATAAGTTAAAGTCCAAGGGAAACCAAAGATTTTAAGTTATAGAGGTTTTAAGTTATCAAGGGTCTATGTTGTAGAGGTTTTAGGCTTTGATGGGAGGGGAACACATTATTTTTTTGAGTTATAGAGGTTTTTAAGTTATCAAGGTTCTACTGTAGTTGAACACTTCACAAGTGCGAAATTTAAAAAAAAAAGTCGCTGATAATAATCCCCCGAACATAAGCTACATTAAAGTCATGCCAGACATACAAGTCTCCCTAAATTTTGACAGCACATGATTTAAAAAAATAAACTATAATATAACAGTCCATGTCAATTACCCTTAAGTGAAAAAAAAAATGAGTTTTCTTTAAAAACTATGATTCCAGAGTTGTATATTTTCTAAATGAGCACTGTTATATAAATACAATAGTCAACCAAAGATACTGTATGCCAAATTTTTCTTATGTTTTGTCCATTATCATAACACTCATCATGCATTAAATTTTTTCAAAACTTTTGGTAATACCATGATAATACCATTTAACGGTAAATTAAGAAACAAAAATCAATTCGTAACATACCTGAGCTCCCACAATTCCGTTTCCTCCGTAGAAATTCTTTCCATACAAATGCATAGAGCCACCTTTTCCTCTTGAGCACCCAGTCCTGCGACCAGTTAACTCGGACAATACACCAAGTATACTGACACCCATCAGATGAGTCCATCCGTGGCAGCGGTAAGCCGTTATCACACTGTCCACATCACGCATCGCAGCTCTCATACCAACTGCTACCGCTTCTTGGCCTATTAAAAATCAATCTCAACTTTAAAAACTACACCAACCATATAAATATTTGAATTATCATTAAACTTTTTTGTATATTTATCTCCACAGAGCATGGTAACACTGAATGTGTTATAATATGACTTTAATGTAAAAATTACTTTAAATAAGAACAAATTTACAAAACATTCTTTAAAATGTTTTGTAAGTTGTCTATTGGTAGATTTGATCCCTGTGTCTATTAAATAAAAATTATTCAAAAAATCAAACCCAGATTTAGTAAATTACCTAATTATAAAATACCTAAATTCTAAAGAGACAGGATTTTATTCACTTTTCTTTGTAAGAGAATGGAAAATTTATAGTATTAACCTGAATACAAATGACAAAAGCCTCTGATAATCTTTTCCTTGTACAGATTACCCGATG